GGGCCTGGAGTGACCCTCCAGTTATCCCAAGCAGGCAAAGGGAGGTTGCTGGTTGCTCTCAGCACAAACATTTAAGAATAAATCAACTGCTTCATCAGGCAACTGCTCTTGTCAGTCCCAGAATCTGCTCCTCTGCCCATGGAGCCTTCAGAGGTGACAGTGCCCTGTCCCTGCCAGCCCTGGCCAGGCTTGTGACTGTGGAGGCAGAGCAAAGGGACTAATTAACCCTGACAGGACGTCACGTTCATTATCTCCGGGCCTGAAATGTCACATCTCCAACTCCAGCCCAATGCTGGGAATGCTCCAGAGCCCTCTGGGAAGGTCCAGCCTGGATTGCTGGGCTGTTAATGAGGGAAAGGATCTGCCCCCTCGTTGCCTGGGCAGTGGGAGCCCCACGGGCAGCGTGGAGGTGCTGGAGCAGCACAGGATCCATGTGGGAAAGCTGGCTGGGGCAGCTCTGTGCCACCAGCTCTCTGTGCCAGGGATGCTGCTCTGCCTGCCCAGGGACCCCACGTGAGGAGGAGCAGGGGAAGCACAAAAGCACTCCACCAAGGCTGGGGCCACATCCAGCTCCTTCCCCTGGGTGCTAAGGATGGAGTGACCGTGAGCTGGGACCCCACAGCCTCCCCTCCAGATCCTGGAGCTCGTGTCCTTCCAGCTCCAGTGGGATTTAACATTTACAGCATGCTGGAAAGTGCTTTCTGAATTAACCTCCAGCCTGCCCAAGGTGAGGACTGACACGGGATCGGGCGTTTCTTCTTTCTGGGATATTGATTTTCCCCCCTTTCACTTTCCTGTTCAGCCAAAGACAGGAAATCTGAGCCAGCTCAGAGGCTTTGCTCCGTACTGTTATTGCAGGAAATGCTCCCAAAATGAGGAGGGGTCGCTGGTCCTGGCCAGGAATGACCCCTCCAGCTGCAGAAGGGCAGTGAGGAGGTTGGGGACATCAGCCCTGTCCAGCCATGCAGAGCTGAGCCAGGGGGGTGACGGGGCTCCCCCAAAAGCTGCCACAGCTCAGCCTCGCTGAGGCAAATTGTTGCAGTCAACTCATTTTTATTTATGCTCCAACACCAGCACAGGAGACTGCCTGCCAGCTGGAAGGGGTACCATTCCCTGATTAGCAATGCCACGTGGATACAAATGAACTTGAACAAAAGGGAAGAGAAATAAAACACAGCCTCCTCCGCGGGGACGTGCGGCCCGTGCTGCACAAACGCTGCTCAGAGAAGTGGAAGAGCTTCTGCTGCTGTTTAGTAACACCAGGAAGGTGATGGGGAATAAACCAGTGCTGGACTTCAGTTAAAATGGATCTCAGTTCGGCCAGGATGTGGCTGTTGGTTTCTTTTCTGCTGGATTCAGTAGGAATTGAGGGGATGTTGTTGTGTTGGCTGATCCATGGTCAGAAAGCCTTTAGGGTCAGCTGGGCACATCAGCACGGATGATTAACGGGGCCAGAGCTGAGCATCATTTGGGGACAGGAGCACTGGCAGGCCTCAGCAGCAGTGCAGGTTTGCAGGGCATAGGAGACCCCCAGTTTCAGCAGGTAAATCCCAGAACCCCACAGTGGTTTGGGTGGGAATGGACCTTAAAAATCATCTCAAACCACCCTCTGCCATGGGCAGGGACACCTTCCACTACACCAGGCTGTTCCAAGCCCTGCCCAGCCTGTCCTTGGACACTTCCAGGGATGGGGCAGCCACAGCTCCTCTGGGCAACCTGTGCCAGGGCCTCCCCACCCTCATAGGGAAGGATTTCTTCCCAAAATCCAATCTAAACATACTCTCTGTCAGTTTAAAGCCATTCCCTTCTATCCTGTCACTACATAACCAGCACAAACACCCCGTGCCAGCAGCAAAGGAAAACCCTCCACGGGGCAGCGAGCCCGTGCTGCCCTTCCCTCCTGCCCAGCCTGAGAAGCCCCATCTCACTGTCAGAAGAGTAAGCTGTGAAATGGGTTTGAAAATAAAGGCTTTTTAATTGCAGGCCCATTTGTGAGCCTTCTGGAAGCCATCTGGCTGGGAGAGCAGGGTGTCAGCCTGGGCACCGGGCAGGGAAAGCCCAGGGAGGCCGAGCAGGGAGCAGCTCCTGGAAAAGCCCTCGATTAACATTAAGAGCTAAATCCTCTCTGGACATTAAGCCACACGGGCCTGATCCAGCTCCTCTCCATTCCAGTGGTACCTGATCCAGCTCCTCTCCATTCCAGTGGAGCCAGAGCAGTGCTGGGTGCTGTGGGCTTTGGGTGTGCTGCTCCTCCAGCCCCTGGATGAGATTGGACAGGGATTTCTAAGAATGCCAGAGCTGCATTCCCTGGGACAAGTTCACAGGGAACCTGTGATTATTCCTGTAATTATTGTCCCATGTTTAGGATTAACCACTTCTATCACTGATGCACCACACAGCCAGGGCCTCGTTAGAGACTGTCATTGTGCTAATTAGGCAGGTTTCAGACTTAATAACAAGGAACTATTTCATGGCAGTTTCATGAAAAAGAAGTAAAAAAAAAAAAAAAGAGGAGTAAAAGCCATTATAATTTCAGGAAAAGTCCCTGGAGAAGTGAAATGGTAATTCACAAATCCAACTCTGATCTATTAGCTCTGGAGACTAAATTAGGGAGGATGTCTGGCTTGCCTGCTATTCTCTATTATTTGAATGTCTATAAAGAATATTTATTAAATATTTTTTCTCTGAAGAACTTTGAAACGCAGCTACATTTACTCACCATTTCCAGGTGCCTGTTTGAAGCCAAGATCCCACTAAATTTGCCCCTGGAAAATCCTCTTTTGATGCAAAACATGCTTTGAAGAAACACTTAACAGGCAGAAGAGAGAACATAAATTCGGAACTATGTTGGGTGTTTGGTCAGCTGTCCATGCAAAGTGCCCGAATAGGGTCTGATCCTTTGGAAAAGGAAGAAATTAAGGAAGAAATTAAGGAAACCACTGTCCTCAGGTGTCCACCCTAGAGCTGAAGGGAGGAGCAGTGGGTGCTGGTGGGCTCTGTCCCTGCCACAGGGATGTGGGTGGCAATGGGCACGGCCTGGGAAGTGCAGCAGGAGCAATTATTTGGGGTGGGAAAGGAACACGTGGGTGGCAGCTGGGGCCAAGAACTGCCCTTTCCACGTGAAACTACAAACAATAGTCCCTCCTGGGAGCAGGGCTGGGCCTGGCAGCTGATCCCTGAGCAGCAGGAGCACCCAGCACTGCTCTGGGGGGCAGCTGTCGGGAGCACGGGGGGCCAGAGGGGCTTTTCCTCCAGAGAAACCTCCTGATGGTGCCTCAAGAGAACCCCATGGATGGGGGAGAGGCCCCACAACAGCTGCTGGGGTGTGGGATCAGCGTTTATGAGGGACCACTTGTGCTGGGAAAAGGGGTCTGAGTGTCTGAAGCTGCACAGGCTCTGCAGGGAGCTGGAGGTGGGACGGCACCCAGGGGTGGGGGGAGTCCCTGAAAGCAGCTTCCCAACGTGCATTTTAAGCTCCAGATGTCCCTGTGTGCTGCAGAAACACATCCTGTCCCCTGGGTAACACAAGGCCTTGCAGAGGGAGCCACCTGTAGAATTGTACCCAGCACCTCCTCTCGTCCCAAGTGCCCCCGTGCCCCTGCCCCACCCTGCTCAGCCTGGCCCTCCCCTGGTGCCCACCACAGCCATCACAGCCAAGGGCAATGCCAGGGACAGGCTAAAAAAGCCCCTGGTGGGTTTGTTTCCCTGGGCATCTCCCCATTCACACTCTCTCCATGGGGCCCAGCCTTTGGTGCCAGTCAGGAATGTGCTCCTGGGGATGGGGGTGCCCAGGGTTGGGTCCCCCCAGGTTGTGCCTGGGCTGAAGGGAAGCCCAGGGGTGATGCCACACTTCCCAGGACTGAGGCTGGTGCAGGAAAAAAGCTCTTATTCTCTCCAGAAAACTCCTTCTCCTCTTTGCTGACCCACTGGAAAAGGGGCAGGGAAGGTGTGTTTGGACCAAACAGGATGAACTGCTGATAAAAGAGGAGGAAAACAGAATGCTTTAGAAACAGCCCTTCAGCATTCAGAGAAATTAGGAAAGGGGGGAAACAACCAGCCCCGGAGCCTGTGAGGAGGAAAAACAAAAGCTTGCTTGCAACTCAGGTTCCTGAAAAAGTGCTGAGCACAGCCTTCGGATGCTGCCCTGCTCCTCTCCTTGTATGGGCACAAACAGGGCCTGCCTTGTGCCTATATTTAATTTGCAAGGGTGAAAAAAATTCTCTCTCCATGCCTCTTGCTCCACTGGCCTCTCTCTCTGCCTGGGGAAGTTACAACAGGAATAGAATTGCATGTTTAAAAAAAAAAAAAAGAATAATAATGCCACAGCTCACACATAAGGCCTTCCTAAACTTGGAGTGAGTGGAACAGGTTTTTGGAACATAACACTGTGGCACACACGAAGCATCTGGTGAGGCTCTTGGCTGATGGGGAGGGGGGGCTGCAGTACAAGCCACAGGCTCTTGCTGTCTGCACATTCCTGTGGCTCCGGGAGCTGCCAGGGATTCACCTCAGGTTGAATTCCTGGAGATCAGGGGGGAACAGGAGGCTGTGGCAGGACCCCCAAGGCCCTGTGCCCCTCCACAAATCAGGGGCTATGTGGCTCTGAGGCTCTTCCCTTGGCAGCAGTTTCTCCCCCAGAGTTTTTCCCCTGGTGGTGCTGGGGGAGGAAGGTGGATGTTGAAGTGTCACCTGAAGGCTCTCAGGGTTGTGCCTGTTCTGCAGTGGGATGTGCCCCTGGAGCAGCACTGGCACCCTGGCAGGGACCTCTCTGCCTGCAGCCCTTCTCCCTGCTGTGATTTACAACCTCTCCTTGAATGGAAACTCTCCTGGCTGCTCCCCAAACTCCCTGATCCCAGCTGGGAACAGCCTGACACGGACCACAGGCTCCCAGTGCCAACCCCCCCCAGATGATCCACGTGTGGTTCCACGATGGGGAACACCCCAAAAGGAGAGAAGCAGGACCCAGGGTGTCCCACACTGGAGACAAAACTGATTCCACTTTATTGGAAACTCTTGGAGAGTCGGACACTGAAGAACTTGGTTCTGTCAAGACAAGGTTTGTACAACAACAGCAACAGGAAACACAACAATAAACGAAGTTTTTTTAACTTTGCCTGTGAAAACTCAACAATTAACTCT